GAGATTGTTACACGTGATCGTTCCCCAACACATAGCAGAGCGAAAACAAAAAATATACAACCTGAGTGACCCGCTTTCAATCCTCTCAGTTTTCTCAAGTCGCTAGCTTGTCAGACCTCCACTTCAGGAACAAGTTCACACCACCGTTCGTCCAGGGCCGACTTAAATGCTAGCACCGTCTGCAGTTGTACTAGCTCCACAGGTAGTCTGTTCCATATGTTTACTACCCTGTTACTGAAGAAGTATGACCGGGCTATTAGTCGAGACCGGGCCTTGACTAGCTTCATTTCATGCCCCCTTGTACGAGAATCCAGCGCTTCCTGGAACAGGGTTTCTGGTCTAATACCAGATAAACCTTTCATTATCTTAAATACTTCTATCATATCTCCCCTGAGCCTTCTCCTTTCTAAAGAGAATAGTTCCAGGTCCTGAAGCCTTCGCTTGTAGCTTTTACCTCGCTGACCCTCAATCTTTTTCGTTGCCAGTCGCTGAACGCGCTCTAAGCAGGCGGCATCCTTTTTGAAGAAGGGTGACCATGCCTGCACACAGTACTCGAGGTGAGGTCTAACTATAGCTTTGTACAGAGGCACGAACACCTCCGGTTTTCTGCAAGACAATGCTGACCTCAATCTGAAGAGTTCTCTGCGAGCCTTATTTGCGGCTGCTACGCACTGCTGGGCCCAGCCGAAATCGGAGGTTACGACAATACCCAGGTCCTTCACCTTACCAACCGGTTCTATCGTGAACGGACCCTGGTCTTGCACTACTGTCAAGCTTCCGTCAGTCCGCGATAGCAACTGGCTTTTGCCAGCATTCAGCGGCAACTCCCACTTCTGCGCCCAGCTAAGGACAGCGGTTATGTCACTTTTTTGGTTCTCTCTTCCTTCAGATCTAACCACTCCGACATCGTCGGCGAAGAAAAAGGTGGGCGATATCAGCAGCGCAGCAAGGTCGTTTACGAAAAGCGGGGACAACAATGAACCTAGCACAGAGCCCTGAGATACACCACTTGTGACGAGTGCTGTTCAGAAGCACTTGCTAACTACTATAACGTAGAAGGTCCTGTTTCTGACGAAGTCTCTCAGCCATTGGTGGATATGTCCCTTTATGCCAAAAGCCTATATTTTGACCAATAGCAGGCGTTGATTAACCGAGTCAACCGAGCTTTGCTAAAGTCAAGGTAACACACATCCACTCTGTATCCCTCGTCCAATCATCTGGTAACTTCGTCTAAGAAGCACAGTAGATTAGTCAAACAGGATCTACCTGTGGTGATTCAGGCCTACACGATGGCGCCTACCCTGGAGCGGCGCGTTACAGTTTCAGGACATTGGTGATCAATCATGTTTGAATGCTGACGTCAATAGCACGTGCATAGCTTCTGAATACGCGTCACTGGCGGATGGTGCCAGCCAATCCTAGACAATACAGACAGAAGCAAGATTATGCAAGTAGTGCTGCAATTCAATTGGTAGATGCCCAGGTAGCCAATAATCTCCCTTTGTACATATTATTTAATCACCTTCATTTCTTCCAATGAATGAACTACTTACTGCCTGCTCTCTGGTCTATTCTTCGCGTCTCGTTCTCGTGGGACATTGCTTCTGCGATTCAGTCCGTGATAACTGATTATCGATTCGGGTTCTGTAATTCATATTGCGTGGTTGGTGTTCCGCATTCCGTGCGTATTACTACTACTTCTACTACAATCATTACAACTTGGTGTAGCGTGATGGAGCTCCCAACGGTTGAGAAAATGAACCTGCAAGCAAGTCCATCCGAGATCGAGGAATGGGTCAAACGGTTCGAGCTGTGGTGCAGCATTCGCAAAGGTGATATACAGAACCAGTCAGCCCTATTTCTTACTGCTGGCGGCCGTGACCTGTATTCCCTGTTGAGAAACCTGGCGTTCCCTGAAGCTCCACCCAAACTACCATGCAAGTCCCTGAAATCGCTGCTGCTCAACCACCTGCTGCCCACTGTATTCCAAGCACATGAAAGGGCCAAATTCAACTCCATGATTCGTGCTGATCATGTTTCCTGCCGTGAATTCATCCTACAGCTGAACAGACAAGCATCACGTTGCAACTATGGTGATCACCTGGAAGAACAAATGTGTGACCACTTGGTGCCAGACATCGATAATCTGACTTTTCAGTGAAAGTTACTGGAGAAGAAAGATTTAACTTTTGCTGATGCCGGCAAGATCTATGAGCAACACGATGACCTGATCAAAGCCACTTCCAGCGAATCAGTCACATTATCCCAACGGAAGAAGACAAGACTGAACCGACCTCCATTGCCCACGAGTGTACCGAAGCCACAGCACGACTCTTCAATCAACGAGAAACGCATCAATCCCTGTTTGTCATGTGTAGCTTACCATCTGCGCTCTAATTGCGGCTTCCGAAATGCCAAGTGTCATGTATGTGGGAAAACTGGCCACATTCGGAGAGGG